TATATATATATATATATATCACATAAAAAATATCACTTATTTTTTATATAAGTTAAAATTTAGAGGTTAAAAATGTAAATACATAAAGGATTGAGTCGTATATGCCTTGTACCTCCGCTTGTCTTATCCACGAAGAAATATTACATCAGTACTACGCACGTAAAAATAACGTGCGTAGCCAATCAAAACACGCCACGACATCTCACATGGTAGAGCAAAAAAAAGTTAGGAAGCTAATGCAGTGATTTTTGACTTAATAATTGCTAAAAAGTTAGGAATTCATAATTTTATTATGGAAATGGATTATCTAATTCTTTGGAAGTGTTGCTGGTGGAATAAAGAGGTGCATTGGAGTATTATGTTGCAGATAAAGAGAATTCAAGCCTTAATAGAGAATATGAATGTTATTTGGACGCAAGTTCATAGAGAAGACAATTTGGTGGCTCACTGGGCTGCAAAGGCTTGGTATACTCTTTTGAAAGCTTTAATTCTTTTTACTTTTTCTGATCATTTATTGGCATTGACCTTTCTTGAATTGTTTTCTGGAGGTTTTGGGGTGGGGTGTGAGTTGTATTTTTTGTTTTTTTTTTAAATTTAGGAACCTATTTTCTTTTATTTGAGTGAGTTGTAAAGGGCTTAGGTTGGGTTCATTATCCCTCTTTCTTTGTATTGCTTTTCTAGTGGTAATAAAACTGCAAGGGGAAGACCCCCACTTTGCCAAAATAAAAAATAAAAAAAATTCAAACCAAATACTAAATCAAACATTTCATATAAGTTCTTTAAATCAATGAAATATGTATATATATATATATATATATAATGTAAGTTAGGAATAGAATATTATCTCCCGTGTTATTCTTGTGTTATTCATGTGTTATTCATGTGTTATTGTGTTATTATAACACCAAGAATATTCCCAGGATACAATAACACATGAATAACACGCAATAACACATGAATAACACGGAGAGGAATATTCCCCGTGCTACTGCGCCGTTTTTTTTCTGCGTCGCGCGGGATATCGTGACGTGATTTCATTGGGTACGCACGTTCCTCTACGTGCGTAGTACTGATGTAATATTTTTTCCTTATCCACAGCTGTGAAGCTTAGCTGGCGCTAAATATTTGGGCAAACAATACCAGAAGCAATTTAAATAAATTTAAAACTATTTCTATTTATTTATTTTGAGAGTAATATTATATAAAATGTTCTATTATATTAATCTCAAAATAAATAGAAAAATTTCTAAACCCATTTTAATATAAAATATAATTTATTTCAATTTTAAAGAAAATTATATAAAAATTTAAAAAGATATAATATAATTATTTGTTAGGGCATGGGCATCTGTATATATTACACATTTAATAAAAAGACTTTTATATTTACATATATAACACTTAAATTACTTATATGTAAATATATAACAATATTAATAATAGTGGTAAATATGAAATGTTAGTTATTAGGTTTGTAAATATATAAGAATTGTGTGGAATGCATGAAAATGACACTTTAATTAAATGTGAATTTTCTGAAAATTTTGAATATTTCATTGATGTTTGCTAATTATGCATTTTACATTTGCACTTCCGGCTGTTTAAAAACCCTCGAAGTGGAGGAAGGAGGTGTGGGAGGGATTTTTGCAGCGATGGAAGCTCGGCAGCAGATATCGAAGTCTAGGGTTCTGAAGGTTGAATCGAAAGAATCTTGGGAGTCGTTCATGGCTCAGGCCAAGAATCAGGGTTCCTCTGTAATCATTCTGATCTGTTTTTCGTGTTCTCTACTTAGGGTTTTCGGATTTGTGCTTGGTTTTGATTTCTTTTTTCTTTTTTTATGTTGATGGTTTTTCTTGTTTTAGGTTTTTGTTCATTTCAGTGCTTCATGGTGTGTTCCATCGCTTGCCATGAACTCCTATGTGGAAGAGCTTGCTGCGATTTATCAGGATATACTTTTTCTGAATGTAGATGTTGATGAAGTCAAGGTTAGTGAACCAAACCTCTTCTTCTTTTTTTTTAATTATACTAACTGGTTTGTTTTTTCAGAGAAGTATTTTATTTTTAATTAATTTGATTTGGGTCTAATTTTGTTGGTTGATGTGATTAATTCATGAACTGGAACTGGAACAGTGGAGTTGTAGTTCTCTCTTCAATGGAATTTAGGTTTATCCAGATGTGTTATTGGGGATCATTTGGTTGGAAATAAAACAAAATCTATGAGAAATTATACTGCATGATCTTCAAAACGATGTTTCTCTTAGATCAATTTAACAGATTTGGATAGAAGTAATTTTATTTTGAATTTCAAATATGCTTTTCTAGTTATGGTAAATTTGATAATTGTTTCACTGTGATTATGTTTTCACTCATTTTATGCGTACATTTACGGATTGGTGTTGTTTAAACTCACTGAGTGATACTGGAATGCATCAGATAAAATTGTTTTAAGAAACATATTTTGATTTGTTCCATAACAAATGAGCATTTGGTCTAAATTTATTTAAAACATTTCCTTATATATATGTTTGTAAAACATTTATTCTCTTGGTTTGAATTAAAGAACAGTATAGTTATAGGATGAATCTATTATAAACTGAGAGATCTAAGATCTTTTGGAGTAATGGTGGAATTAGGGTTTAATTAAGAGGGGATGAAAAGGGTTTATCCAAAACTCATGGTGGAGACAAGGCTTCTTTATATATATATATATATTTAACACCTAGGTAGGCTTTGATACTTACTTATATACTCTCTATTATCATAATTACATAAAAAACATATGCATGAAATGTGTGCTTCACTTTAGAAAAGCTAATTTAAGTGTTATTTTTCATTCAATGTTAAAGATTTGATTTTTATGCAAGTGTTAAGGCTTTCTTCTATTTAAGTTTTTGATGATTTTGGTACCTCTTCTAAAAAACATCGCCAATATCGAAATAAATCATTACGTATATCTTGCTTGATGAGATTCATCTCTCTTTGATTTTTCCATGAGATTCAAGCCCAAATCATGCATTTCTTTGAGATTTCAAGTAGCCAATTCAAGTCATAAATCAAAACCCATTTCACATATTAGCTTTGTTTGAGGCGGATGTTGCTATCTTTGTTATTGAAAGATATATGTTCAGCCATGCTTTATATTATAATTATTCAAGAAGTAGCTTTTTTGAGGTAAAGTTTTGCAAAAAAAGGAAAAGTGAAAGAACTGTCACCCATAAAGATATCATTTTGTGTTTGTTATTTTCTTGGGGAATTTACAATGTATTTGCATATTGGGGTACATATTTAATGCCCAAAGTTTAATATTTACATTTATGACACATTGGTGTAGGGGTGTAAGCAAGCCAAGCCGACTTGTGAGCTAGCTTGGGCTATGCTCGATAAGTGGCTCCTGAATTAAGCTCGATCAGCTAACAAGCAAACTCAAGCCATCCCTGACTCTACCTGTTTGCTCATGAGCCGGCTCCTTTAAAATTAAATAATATAATTATACTCTATTTATTTTAAAATTCAATATTTTTCTTTAAATTATAAAAAAATGTTAGGAAAAAAAAAATGTTGTTTTACATTTTATATCAAATAATTTCTTATTATTTAACTCTTAATGACTCCTTTAATTTGTCATTTTATTATAACACCAGTTTGAATTAATATAATTTCTCTTATTAAAAAGTTAATGATAGTGGTATTTTTAATGCAATATTAAACATCCGAGTGCTATGCATGTAAATATGATAGTTCAGGAGATCAGATGTGTAAACACTAAGAATTATGTGGCTTGTATGTAAAAGCCCCTTTTATTTCCACTTTAAAAACAGTTAGAATTTTGCGAGCCTCAAGTTTTCCTCATTAAAATAGGATTATGAAATGGTTTTACAATTCAGGTGTTTTCTTTCCTCTATAAGAATCTTTCATTGATCATTTTGCTAATTTTGCTAATGAAATAGCTCACAATTATTCAAGTTTGAATGATAATTTTTCTGAATACTTTGTATCATTCACCATACAAGCTTCATCATTTATCCCTCAGCTTAAGAAATGATTAAACCTGCAATTTTTATAGGAAGTTGCTTCAAAAATGGAGGTGAAAGCTATGCCCACTTTTATAATACTCAGAGATGGAATCCCCGTGAACAAAATGGTTGGAGCCAACCCTGAAGAGCTAAAGAGAAGGATCGAAGTTTTGATGAACCATTAGTGTGATTATTAGTATCTGTAATGTTGTGTGGAAATGCTTTAATTTATGTATAGTTTTGTCATATAAACTTGTTTTCCTGTGGCTCTCCTTTGTTATCAAGTGAGTATTACTGCTGCTTTATATTTACAAGCTGTTATTGTTGTGTAGTTTAATGAACTTTACGGATATAAATTTGATCACGAGTATGCAATAATTGTATATATGTATGTATTATCTGAAAATAAATTTAATAATGTTATAAAATCGGGATAATGCTTGCATTCTGCACCATTATTTACTGGAATAGATTTGTCAGTAGATAATTGAAATAACAGTACAAGTGTTATTGGTGGAAATCGTCAGGAAATGTTTGGTTGTTCAAATCTAATGCAATGGAATACCAAAGACGATTTTTTTTTTCCTTTCATTTCCTTATGATAAACTGAAGATCTTCGTGAAAACAAAATTATTTCTCAGGTGGAAGCTGAAGAGGCTCCAACAAATTCATGGCGTCAATATCTTGCTAGCATCTCTACTGTCAACTTAATCTCGAGATTAATGAAAGACCAGGCATCGAATTGTTACTAATTGTGCATTTTTTTTTTCTTTTTTTTAACAAAAGTTTAAGGAAAAAAAAAAGAAAATCTATATCTTGTCCGGCCATAAAATAGAAAATACAAAATTACAAAAAAGGCCTGCTAATGTTAGTAGTTCAAGAAAACTTAGGTTGTTCAATCTTAGGGCTCTGAAGATCTGCCATTGTGACAATAATAATAAAGCAGAACTTGGAATTTCAACATGTTGTCACCCACTTCTAATATAATACAAGAAAGTAGACCATCCTACCTATAACATATAACGGTTGGTTGAAATAATATATATATATATATATATAATATATATATATATATATTCAATTTACAGCGGAATAGATGAGTATGATGCATACCTCATCAGCAACCGCTTCCGAAGATCATCAAGTCAGAACTGTAACAACGAAGCTCCAACAAATTAAAACAGATTACCAGGGGATGAAAATAGGAGGGGTTTTTACATATATACCACCCAATTCCTATGTGTTTACATATCTAACACCTAAACTTTACTTTTTACATTCACACCATTTAAATCTTAGTTATCATATAAAAAATAATACCCCCATTTTAACTTTCAAAAAACTGAAACACGCATTTTCATGCTTAGATTAGGCGGTATGTATGTAAAAAATTGAAGTTTTAGGTATAAATACATAGGAATTGAGTGGTATGCATGTAAATTTCCAAAAAAATAATGCGAAGATGATATTTAGGAAGAAATGAGAAGCATAAATTAAAAAGAGAGAGCATAATACATACTTTTTTAAAAAAATGTCAAGCAACAAGTCCTTTTGGTTAACTTTCATATAGAAAGCCAAGGGGGTTAGTTCTATTAAGGATGCATGGCAATCAACTCATCATCTCTACATTTTCTGATGTTGACATTCATGACTGCTTCATGAGAAGAATCTAAAACATCACAACAACGTCTTCTAACAGCCTGCAACTCACTAAGAACAAAAAATATCAAAAATATGATTTACATAAATGGAAAATCTATGTGAGGGGGCTGCCTGGTAACAGATTTAAATGGGGTTCTACTTGCGAATTTTGCCAGACAGCGAAAATGGCACTTTCAGCAAAATTGGCATTTTTAAATTCAGGATTCCATAAATCCTGTTTCTTCTGAGTTTTCTTCTCAGTTTTGCCTCAAATCCTGGATTTACTAACTAATCCCTCTATTGTTAGGATTTAGTAAATCCAGATTTACATAATTTACCAAAGCAGCTAAAACCGTTACTGAATAGACCTGATAAACATTGCAGAGACTGAAGCTATGCACCCTAATTGAAACATACCTTCCTGATTCCAATACCATAATTCTCCGAAAAAACAGATATCCGTTGAAGTTTCTGTGTCGAAACAATATTTCCTGGGCAATTTACAGACACTTGTCTGCTGTAATTGCTTTCAGTTCTACTCGCAGAAGAATGGAGACTTTCCAGAAAGAAAATGGCAGGTCTTTTACATGGATCTCTTGGAAACTCCCTCGTGTTGAACATATAAACACCCGAAGTTGCTGTGCGGCCCCTCCTCCACGGTCTGAATGTCTTTTGCAAGCTCAAAAGGTCGGTGATGAGTACATTGCCCTCAAATATCTGAACAGCGAAACCCCAAGAAATGGAAACAGTACGTAAATCATTGCGGTCGTAACAAACAGTTTGCTGGAGAATACGTTCTGGATCAATAGTAGTCGCTTTCAATAAATGGCGTAAAGATTCTGAATGGTTCTTGCCAGGAAATAAGGGATCAACTGAGTCAAGATGATGGAGGGATACTAGAGGTGGCAATGGATGAGTGGATAGAAGACCAAAGAGGTCTCCTCGCAGGTCAACCTGTGGATGTAAAAAAAGGCTTTGTTTGGTTCACCTTTAGTTTTTCTAAAAATTTGCTTAAAAGTTGTTTAAAAAAAACAGTTGCTTCAAAGTCATGTGTAATCACAATCTAAAATAACTATAAAATAATGTTTTGTGAATTTTGAGAAGCACTTTTAGGAAAGTATGTCAATCAAATGAAGCCAAAATTGGGAAAAACTGTTCTCTATAAAACGGAAGGCGGTTTTGCAGATTTTACAAACAAAGCCTAAGGTTGGTCATTTGGTTTGCTTGTAGGCATCATCATCATCATTAGACTCAAGGTATGCTGTGAGCATCATGCTGATAGTAAACTAATAATAACACAACAAAATATTCAAATTCTTAGGCAAAGCACAACAAATTCATGTTCTAATTAAAATTTACTGTTCCGCATTGCAAAACAATAATATTGATATTTATTCAATCTTCCATTATTATCTTATTATATGGTTTACTGTCAAACTCAGACCTTACACTTTTCTCATATCAAACCGCGAGCATTCTGTTTAAACAGCCTTCAAAAACAATGATATAGAATCATTATGACCGAGAAAAAATTACTTAGAAATCCAAGAAAAAAATAAATTACAAATTATGAAATATAATAGAATTCCAAAATGATACAAATAAAGGGGCAACAAGAAACCTTAAACAAGGCTTATCAGACCAAAACAGAATCTGCATATATGATCTTAGGCCCTCTATACAATCCTCGATTTTCTAAAGATCATATTCTGATTTCAGAGCTGTATATGTAATATAAACTCGATAAAGAAAATTGAAGAACTTAAACATGAATTTCCCAATTTGTGAAAATATTATACTTATCAACTAGATTGTTTATATGGTTGACAAAAAACTAACCATATCCACAACCGCCTGTGACTTTGCTGCCAACCATGTAGTTAATAACCACCTCTTCTGCCAGAAAATAGAACATGGACAAACCACCTTTTCTGCCAGAACAATCACAGCCATTCAATTGCAACAGCCAGGAACATCTACATTGCTGCATTAGAACCACCTCCAGCTATGAAAATCAACTCCGCTTATTATCTTTGCTTTCTCTGTTTTCCTTTTATAAATAATGGAATGTAATACACAGTTGGTATGTAATACATTTTCTACACAGCTCATATCTCCATGTCATTCTTTGCTTTCCTCCATAATCATGTTCTAGGATTTTATGGTATAGGAGAGTAATAGCTTAACAGCACTGTCATTTACCTTCTCTTTCTAAACATCAGGCGTGTTTTCTTATTTCTATGGAGCAATCCAATGCCTTGTTACTGATCAACCAGATAACTGTTGTATCTGCTTCCATCATTAATGTTGACATGTATTCTTTCCTCTATTCAGGTTTTTAATGTCCACCATCAAACGGATCAATACACAACTCCTAAATCAAAAAATCCCATTCGGTGATCTCAAATCCATAACATATTAAAGGCGAATAGTTTTTATGGCTTCTTCAATTACTGCATGTCCAAATGAACATAGCATGAGCAAAGCAAATGACATGATCCAAAACACACACAGCACCGACTGGCTCCTCGTACACCAAAACTCGGGTACTGGTATATGCAACACAATGCCAATCCCCATTGTTCCCTATGTCCAAAACATTACGCCAGCTCTAAAGTTTGGAAAACTATCGGAAATGCCTGCAGCCATAAATCACTCAAAAGTCGTTCAATTAAAAGAACGAGTCCAATATACTTTCATGAAAAATCAAACCATGACTATAACTTTCCTCCATCAAATCCTGTAAAGACAACGTCATTACTGCCGGATCTAGCATTGAGCATGAAAATGTCATAGTATGCAACTTCGAAGCCTAGCATCCGCCTACCAAGCTTTCAAGCAGCCATGGCACTAAACTCACTCCCGTAAGCTATACATTGACTTCTATTTTCTCCTACACTATGAGAAAACAAACTTTGCTGACGAAATAGCCAAGACTACAACCTCATTCATATAGCTCTATCTCTGTGGATAAAGACGAGGCAACAGCATCACTTCCCGAAGATGATGTCACATTTCTCCAGACTTCTCCAAAAGTGACATTCACTTCCTTTTAAAATAGGAAAGATCAAAAATCTCTCAATCTACTCCTTTCATCTGTCAAATTGTGGTAAGACTTGACACTCAATTTTTAACAATAAATATCACTCCAGCCTAAACAACAATCAATATAGCTAGTAGAGACCTCTAGTCACTACACCCAACTCTTCATCTTCTTATCAGTTTCTTGACAAGGAGTTATTATGCATCTCACCTTAATATTATATTATCCACCTGTGACAGTCGCGACCTTATCACCGTAGTCAAAGGTGATGCCTAATAATGAAAATTTTTTCCTTATCTCCAACACTAGCCAAGGACTTTATGCAAACTATTACTCGTAAGCTTCATCTCCCTAATCTCTTGCATGTTCCTCCATTCTCACAATCTCCATTCAATCCATAACCGAGAATAACTACCCTTGTTATTTTGATGCTTTAAATTATCACAATTATTAACAGTCAAGTAATATCATTCTTAAGGGTTGCTGCCATAATGACATGTATCCCATAACTGCTCAACGCCACCTCATTGCCATCTTAATCAATCAAGCTCTCTATTGCTAACCCATGGCACTAGCATCTTGACCACCCCAACGACTCCATCCTCTATGTTATCTCAAGAATAAACATTTATGGATTCCCTCTAGCTCTACCTTTTTGTGATTTTTAAGTCGATCTGCCAATAGTCATTAACTTCCTTCTTGGAGTGTACTGTTTAGTTCACACAAGTATAAACTAATAAAGCTTTTATCCATTCAGGTCATCCCCAATTTCATCATGTTATATTCATTGATGATTTCCCGTACTTTTTATAGGATCAAAAAAAAAAAAAAGACAAATCATCACATGGAGATATTTCATTGATGAAACCTCCTCCCCACAGATTGGACCTGAATCCCATTGCAGAATTTTCATCCCATCAAGCTCCACTGAAAAACTACAAAGTTAGGGTTCCTCTCTCTCGTCCAGACATTTGACGAGTTGTCCCATGCTGACATGAAAGTAACCTCTAAATATCTTCATGTAATGTTCTCGACATGGCACAAAATGACCACATTTTTGACATATTGAACCTTCCTCTGTCAGGGCAACTTAGGAGGGGTCTACACATCTGAAAAATCCACATCTCGCTTATTCGGGGTAAACTTGTATATGATGTTGGCTCCTCAAACTCATGACCCTTGTAGAAGTCCAAGGTCATTCCTGTTGATGTTCCTCTCACCATCTGCAAGGTGCTAGCTCGAGGCACCATAATCTCAGGCTCTGTTGGGTTTTCTATCACCTCTCAAATTTATTACCTTCTAAAGCAGCGTCTGTTATCACAACTGGAATCTCTATCTCGGGGCCAACTAGATTTGGTGGCATCTCTTCCTCGTCGGCTGAAAAATGAGATTCTTTTATGAAGTCTGTATCTTCTTCCTAAATCTTGTTCATAGCTTTAACTAATTCTCGTTTATGTCATCACAGTCTTTACTGCTTACGGTATCTTTACCCAACTTTTCAATGATGCTCTGCTCGGTGAAGTAGATCACACCCCTTGTTGTGCATTCTATCTCAACATGTCCAAATCTATAGCACTTGCCACATTTTATGACTGTGACAGACTTGCAGATTAATTTCGCTGGATAGTAATCAGGGGGGCGCTTGGTGATGTGGCATCTCCACTTCCAAAGTTAGAGTCTGCAACTTTTGGCGATAGTAAGTAGGTAAAAACTGGTGTTGTGTTTCCTGCTTCATCTTCATATTTTCTCGTTTTTCCCTTCGACCTTTCAGATCACAGTCGACGGAAAATTCCCACTGGATTTCTCTTCAATATTCGTAAGCCACGGTTAGAGGCGACGAAGTTCTCGCCGTATCTTTTCCCGGGTAGGCTCGGGCATATTTCTTCTAGGCGGCATAATTGACGGTTTTGAAACACGTGGAAGGAAAGAAAGAAGAAACAAAACAAGAAGATAGAAAAAATATACGAAAGAAAGAACAGAAAATTTGGTGTGGTGGACTAGGTAGGAGCAGATGCTAGAAACCCTGGGATGAAACTATGGTTGGGCTAGCTCTGATACCAAATGATACCGGAGGAGAAAAATCAAAACCACAAAAGAAACACAAATATTATTATTGAATTTGAAATCGGTTACAACGGCTCTATGAAACATGAAATAAACGACAAAAAAACACAAAGACATAAGCCAACACCTTGAAAGTGTATCCCAAGGGCGGTGGATAGGGGTGTAAACGAACCGAACACGAACGAACAAAGCTTGTGTTCGTGTTTGATTCGTTTGAAATTTAGTTTGCTTGAAATAAGCTCGTGTTTAAAATTGTTCGTGAAGTCACTGTTTGTGTTCGTTTCTTAACGAACGAGTCGAACACGAGCCGAACAGGAGTTGTTCGCGAAAGACGAGCCAGTTTGACATCCCTAATATTAATATATATAAATAATATATTATATTAATTATATAACTTATATTATATAAATATTTAATATCTATAGTAGTATATTACTAATATAGTATATTAATATATTATTATTTTTAATTTATTATATATTATAATTTATAAAATTTAATTTTTTAAAATATCATAAATTTTTTATATATAATTATTTTAAATTATTTTATATTTCGAACAATAACGATTCGAACACGAACGAACGCATCACTGTTCGTGTTTGGTTTGTTTAACCAACTAAACGAAATAAATTTGTTCACGTTCATCTCGTTTACTTATCAAACGAATGGAACACAAACTCATTGACGAACCGAACAAGAACTATTCGCGAACAACAAGCTTTTTTGACAGCTCTAGCGGTGGAGGTCGGCCTAGTAGATTCAAAGGCTTGGGACAACAAGCGTGAATGCGGGAGAGGGGCCGACCGTGGTTGGAAGGTGAATTAGAGGGAGGCAGCAGGCTAAA